GCTTTTGCAGTATAAAGTAAGGGTTACTGTTAAGTGAAGTAAAGCTACTTGCAATCAGTTTAATAATTCCACAGATTGTGGAGTAAGTCTAGTGCTGTCTGTACTGTCTTCATTAAATGTAATAACAACTTTAGAGTAAATTCACTGTAGAAATATGCAGTATATAGAGTTTGGTCCAAACTACAAAACACAACTGTCCAAAGGTTATCATGAATTTATGGCTTAAATGATTTTGTGTGGCTTAATTTGGGGAACGCACTGGGAACAATTTAATCTTTGGCTACATATTGGTTTTTTTTTAAGCAATACCACTGATGAAAATGGCAAAATTTGCTTGAATAAGTGATTTATCCAAGAGTTACATGGGCTGAAGACAGTAGCCATGGTAGAGATCTATGTCTACATTAGCAAGTCATACATACCAGGAGATTTGTTGAGGACAACAGTTTGTGCTGACAGTTTACACTATTGGGGTACAAATTTTGGACTCACTCTCATCTGGTATCCGGGCCTGAATGCTTTATCGTGCCTGCAGCATAACTGGTGCCCTCATGGAAGAAGTTTTCTGGTTCAACTTCACCTAAAAGTAGTCCAGTTTGCATGGTGCAGGATTGCTCAGTATTGTGAACCAAAGCATGAGAAGTGGGGGTAGCTGAGAGGTTCATGTCAAGAGATCTCTCCTGATTTTCTCTAAGATGCCAGTGTAAACATAGCCACAGACTTCCAGACTTAGAAGTGTACATTATTCCTGCTGATGCTAAATATGTATTTGAATAGTTATTTGAGTTTAAAAATTACCCTAAAGAATTTAGTTACACAGACTGCTGTTAAATTCATGGTTTATGCTAATCACAGGACAACAGTCGATGTCTAAGGTGACCATTCTGTTTAGTTGATAGGTATAATTAGGATAATCATCTTTTTTTGATTAAATGTAAGCTAATACCATGTTTTTTAGTTACTTTTAAGTTAAAAGAGCAGTAATATTTGTGTGCTACTTCCTTGTTCCACAGTGGTATTCATCAGGATCTGTGTTAGGTGTTAAAATAGAAAACTAAATACCAATCAATAACAATATAGGATTAGAAAGTATCACTGCTGTTTTGGAAGAAATTTCCATTTTGCTAAAGAGTAATACTTCCTAAATATCATATCTCAGCATTTAAAAGAAATACTGTTTAAACCTGGAACAAAATAAATACAAAGACAAGTACATTACTCCACCTGCATCACACAATGCAAACAAAATGTTTTCTTTCATTTTTGCCTGCCAGTTACCTAACCTTCCTTTGTTAAGGAAACTGACAGAGGACCTGCAAACGGTTTGGCTCCCAGAACACCTGATCTGTTTTAGAAAGCATTTCAGCTGGAGTTAAAGCTGAGCACCACTAATAAAATCAGACAAAAGACAAATATTCACACTTAGACCGATCGCTCTCTTAATAGCATTTACCATTAATCTGCTTTTAAAAACGTTCTTGCAAGAGCACTGAAAGCTCTTGCATGAAGGATGAGTACACTGTGGGGACACTGGAGAATTCAGAGCACTTTACAACTAGAAAACAGGGAGAAATGACACTCAGTTCTTGTTCCTTGGTTCAAATGCAGCATCTGGCCATTGGCACCACACTACCAAAACACTTTCCTAGCAAACAAGACACCGATCATCTTGTTGGGTGGGCTGCCTTCTGACCACTCCCAAGAAGAAGAGAAGATTGATACTGGGGAGGAAATGGGAAGAGATCACAAGATCAATAAAGACACCAACACGTGATATCTTATTTTCAGGAAAGTCTTCTGAAAAATGATTACAGATCAGATATTCATGTGGAAGGCAAGTGGGTAATGGCATTGCTGAACCTGTTGGTTCTAGGTTAAAATTATGATGGAGGAGTGGAATTAAATCTTTTGCTACTGGCATTTTTACCTCATTTAGTGTGAACAAGTATTCTTTTACATGTGTTTATTACATGTGTTTTTATATAGTACACTAAAACATGCCTTGTTTACTTACAGTTTTCTGCCCTTCTTTCCCCCTTTGTTGTGTTTGCATTTCTCGATTGATCTGTGCTGGCTACTTATTAAAAAAAGCATATTTGTTGCATTATTTTCCTTCTAATATATGTTTTTATGATCAAAATATATATTTTCTATCCAAGTGGTTAAAAAATTATTTTAATCAGAAAGCCAATAAGTTAAACCCTGGACATTTTTACCAGTCTTACTATCTGCAATAGGGCTTCAAGAAGACAACTGTCTTTCTTACTGGACTGCAGTTTGGAGATGAGGTTGAAGCAGTTAATAAATACATTGAAAGTAAACCTTGAAGGAAACAGAAGCTCAGTCCACGTGGAAGGGGAGAGGTCTACTTTTAAAAGAACTCATTGTTTTTCAAGGAATTGCCCAGTATTACCTGTTAGGAAGTGACTCATGGAAGCCAACTGTCATTTTGATTTATAAAAAACATTTTGGGTTGCATAATAGTGTGCTAAAAGGCTCTTCATGTCCGTTGCTCTAGTGTTAGATCAGATATCACCTCTCTAACATCACTAATGTTTGAATTTTGAGACCAATTGTGAAGTGAGGACACAGTGCATTAGATTGCTGCATTAGCACAGAGGCTTCTATAGTCTATACAATGTAGCATTAAAAGGCCTTTTGTGTTTTCATTTAAAAAAGTGTATTTTGTATAAATTCGGTAGTGCAAAAACTTCCTACACCTTGTTACATTCTTTACATTACATACTTCCCCTGTAAACAGCTTTCCTGTAGGAACTTCCTTTGCAGTTTGTGCGATATATTATTCCCCCCTACCCCCCACCCAGATTTGGATTAATGTGACTGTTAGTCAAAAACTCTTCTAATTACTCTGTGAATATTTTTTAAATATGTGCATTGGTTTCATCATTGTAAAGGAATTAAAACTTTGATTCACAATTCTGCAGTTAGTAAAAAATATAAAAATAGATCAATTGCAAAGCTATCTCCCTGAACATTCTTAATTTTCCACTGATGTGAGGAGTCAGACCCCTTTCAGGTGCACAAAGGAGTCACTTCTTCCTAAGACTCCTAGTTTTGAAATTGCACAGCTGGCATTAGAGACTGACTCCAGAACTCAGACACATTCTCCCCTTACTGTGGTGAATGGGTAATAAGTCTGAAATGGCTTCAAAGTTTTACAAAACCAGAAAAATATACTTGTGTAATTTTGCATAATTTGCTGCATATCAACCCATGATGAATGTAATTATCCCGGCCTGCTTTTCTTATACCCGCTGTACTGGATAGAAAGCTAGATTCAGTCCTGCAACTGCTCAAAAAGATATTTTAATCAGGAATTATACAAGTTTGGTATTGAGAGGTGGATCCTGTATATGCAGTCAAGACTGGAAAAAACACATTTCTAAACCTGTGCTTCTGGAAATAGTTTTCAGCATAGACAAAAGTAGATAACAAAATTATACCAAAAGCACTTCTAAAACTTATAATTTTGCTTCCAGTGTTTCAAAAAAATAAAACATCTGTTAATAAAGTGAATTGCATCTCTTTCAAAATAAATGTGCTTCTCTGAAAACATTTAAAATACAGCAGCAAATAAGGGCCTGGTCTTTCATCTGATTTATATAGTTAAAGTTCCTGTTGATTTTCATCAAGAGGGAGAGACTATTGTTCTTCTCATTTAGATTTCAGTCAGTCCCTTTTTCCACCAGACTCCCATTGCTTTCAGGGGAAATTAATTTGCACAAGAACTGAGGCCTTGACTTTACTTTTTTTTAAATTTGTAGTGATTTTAATGGGCTGGAATCAGGCTTGCATGAACTTTAGCTCAGGAGAGCTTTAGGAATGAAATCTCTGTTCCTGCAAATAGGTTCCCTATGGCTGGACTCCTCCCTTTCCATCAAGTGTCATAGGTCTAAGGGGCTTTTCCAAAGTGTAAGGGTCACCTGGGAGAAAAAGCACACAGAAGTACATGACAAACCTCAGTCTTGCCAAAACAACATCATTGTCTTGAATGGGAATTTTCTGTGGATCCAAAGCATAGGACCAGGTCCCATTTTGTCTTAATCTGGACTTCAACAGTTCACTAGGATGTAAAGGCAGATCAAACAGGCCCATGTGATTTCATAAAACTGCACATAGAAAATACGAACCAACACTTCAGGCATATAAAAATTGACTGGCATTTAGTTTTAGTCACCGAAAATATCTAGAAACTAAAAAATAAATGTAGAAGAGTAATGACTATAAAATATGAAAGAGGAAAGTTTGGGGACAGTGAGACACAACATGATTGAAAAGTGTTACGCAGAATACAATATAAATACATAAAACTGAATGCAGCAACAAGTTGAAATGAACGGCAATTAAAGACAAAAAAAAAAATTATTTTGAGAATTAATGACCAGACATTGCTTGAAAAAAAAAAAGGCGTATTCTGAGGTATTCAAATGACTGAAGAGACACCTCAATATTATCTTGTTACAAAAATAAGAAAACTGATGGAAATATAGAAAACTTTAAAAAAAAAACCCCACCTAAGTGATTGTGCTGGGCTCATTATTTGACCCAGCTACCAGGATCAATATTTTGGGGCTCTTCAAACTTGCCTCTTTTCTATGTGCCAGGCTTGAGTGAGGCCTGTGGCATTGGCCCAGCCATTTAAGCAAAGGGCTGTGTTGTAACAAAAATGGTTGTTCCTTTACACTAAATGCATTAGGTGCCTGATTGTTACATATTCAAGTGACAAAAAAAGACACAAGTAAAAGTTAACCTACTAACCTATGGTAAGTAGAAGCCTGCTGTTCCAAACCATACATTGATTGGTCTAAAGTACTTTTAAGTCTTCCTTACAAAAAAAAAAAAAACCCCAACAAAAAAACAACAACCAAAAAAAAAAAACCCAAAAAAACAAAACCAAAAAACCCCACAACAAACAAAAAAAACCCCACAAAAACCCCCAAACTCAAACAAAACAAAGGGGAACATTTTCTAGGGCATGTCTGTGTAACTGCATACATTTGCTTATGATCAGAATTCATGCAGTGAATAAACTTTTTATGATTTAGGGAATTAAAGCACTCTAGAAGCTTTAAAAAATATTTTATAGCATAAGAAGCTATGGATTCTGGATTTAAAAAAATAGCCTTTTCAAGACAGTGGTTAGATGAGTACTTTGTAATGAAGGCTTTGGTTCAGCATCTTTCTTTTTCTTTTCAAAGATGGAGAAATCAGAGAAATGAAAGATGATTTAGCAGTTGTCAGTGGAATGACATTTTCCATTATTTAAGTATAGTGGAAATCCTGTACTCCATTTCAGAACAGCTATGGAAGAATGGGTTGAGGCAAAGTTGTTGAGTCAAGTGATATCTTCTGTCAGTCCAAATGATTGAACTGGAAAACACAAACGAGCTTTGGGGTGTGGAAGACCTGAGGCAAATCACATGTACATGAAGCCTTTTCTTCTCCAGCTACATGATTTATGATAACAAAAGGTACCACTTTCCCCTACAAACCTTGTCTCTTATGTCCTTCCACCTTAACAGCTCCAACAACATTACCATTACTGAAGTATGTGCACTGCATGGAGAACAAAAGGTAAAAGATCAAAGATCATGTAGAAGCAAATGATGTTAAATCAGAGGAAAAATAAGAGTGTGGGATATATTTTTTTTAATACCAAGGTATAGTCTATGAGGTTGAAAATGTTTTGATATATCTGAATAGCCATTTGGCACTATTTATTGCCACAGAAATAATGACGCTTTTTAAATTTTAAAATGGAACTTTTTTTTCTCAGTTATGAAATGTTGGCAATTTTCTATAAAAATATCAAATGCTTCAAGTTCTGGTCATTAAATCTTTGCTTTCCCTCACAGGATCATTAATTAAACTGACAAATACAATAACTGAAGTTCTACAAGTAAAAAAAAAAAACCCATCATGTTTTATAGCACAGATGAACTAAAATACTGTAGTCCTTAATTAACAGATATACTTGTGAGCTTTTTAACAGAAAGCAAGATACGTGAGATGCTTTAAGTAGAAGTTGCAATTTTGCAACATAAGTCTGTACAAAACCTCCAGGCAGCACGCTGTGAAGGAAGTACCTGTGTCCCAGGAAATGCTTTTTCCATAAATCCTTGTTAACAGTAGCTTTCCCCCCAACCCCAAACTATTTACAAGTATATGCATTTTGCAAGCTCAAAGCACCTTGTTTCACATCCTTATGAATGCATGCATTGACATTTCATCCTTTCATGTGCAAATTCTAAAATTCATTGTAACTGAGGGAAAAAAAAGTTTAAAGAGTTCAAAACCTGTCTACAATCATAAGTGAAAGGATCAAAAATGTCAGATGTTGCAGACCACTGGCTCCTAATAAAGCTCTCTTTATTGTATTCACCATTCTTGAGTAATTTTTTCCTTGTTTTTTTCAGTTTGTTACAAAAGCAGTCTTTTTTTTTAAATTAAACAGTATTTAAACTAAACAACTCTTCATGCCATGCAAAAATAACATTTTATGCACTTTTGTTGAGGCTTTCCATGTTTTAGTTCATAGGCATTACTAACTGTGTTTTAAGAAAAGATATTTTTATTGCTTCTGTAACTAGTCACATGCTAGTTTCACGAGTAGGACAATAACCAGTTTCTCCTGGACTTGAATGAATTTCTGGAGCAAATAAATGGTTCTCCATTTTGTGACCTTCTTGGTTAGTGTCTGGCTTTACCTCACCCACAGCATGGTAAATGTCTTGCGTACAGTTGTGGCTCATGCTTTTGGGTGAAGAGCTGACCTGTGGCTCCCCTGGTAAATTGTTGCCATCACTGTGTTTATCCCCACAGCAATTTGTCTTGATATCCTGTTTTTTCTCATGTTTCATACCATGTAACTCCATAAACTCTTCTTCTTCTCCAGTGTCTATTTCAGTGAAGCTTCTCCTCTCTTTTGAAGGGAAAGTGAAAATTTTTTGTTTGGGAAAGAGAGGGGATGATTTTTTAGCAGGTCCCTGACAAAGTGCAGGTGCGTCAGCACCAAGTACAGGCCGTTCACCTTGGGGGGAATTTTCTTCTAGGAGAATGGTGCTGATGTGCTGAGGGGTGGCCTGTGTGAAGTCTGCTCCTGCTGTCACTGGCAGTGGCCTTGCGGTGCTCGGTGGAGTTTGTGGAGCACCACCTCTATTGTCTTTAAAATTAACTTTAAGGGATCTAGACTTTAATGGGTTGCTACCTTTCAGGGAGCTTTTGGGGCTTTCCATGGCAGTGTCAAAATGAAAATGACCATGTGAAACAGTTTGGGACCCACTGCCATCACTGATAACACCTCTGTTGATTGGATTATAGTCAAAGGTGACATCAGTTGGAGAAAATCCTCTGTCTTTTGCAAATGGCATAAACTGAGAACTTCTTGCTCTTTGGTTTTCTTCCAGGTTAACAGCATCAGCTGGAAATCTCATTTGCAAGTGAGAGCCAGGAAACAGAGAGAGAGGAGACCTCTCTGTTTCTGTGAAGTCAGTTGCGCAACTGGCAAAACTGTCGATACTGGATGTGCTTCTCATGTCCATCACGATGTCCGCAGGCCCTGTTGGCAACGGGTCTCTCTGACCTATAACTTCCTCCATTTCTATTTCTTCTTCATAGCTGGGTGGCTTTGCTGACTGGTCTTGGTAACCAGCATTAAGATTAGGCTGAGACTGGGTTTTGGTAATTTCATTATACAGCATCTCCAGTTTTTGGGCACTGAGGTGCTGTGGGCTGGAGGATGATGCAGCATTGTTTAATTGCTCATGGGAGTCTTGTTGACTAACTTCTTGGTATTTGTTTTCATAAGATTTGTTTGAGCTTGTTTCAGACATTGTCCTTCTGGCCCATTTCCACCGGCTTGGGGATAGGTGGCTGTTATCAGGTGTCTCCTTTGGACTGAGTGGTTCTCCAAGCTTTCCCGAATCTACTGCTACATCTATCATTTCCATACTGCGAGCAAAGGCATCTTTCAGATTCATGGAGACAATACTGCCATTTCTTTTAGCTCGCTCAAGTGCTTCTCTCCTCTTAATTGCCTTCTCCTGTCTTTTCTGCTCCTTATAAAACTCTGAGAAATTGTTCACAATAATTGGTATGGGCAGGGCTATGACCAGCACTCCAGCAATACAGCAAAGTCCTCCAACTATTTTCCCTAATAACGTCTTAGGATAAATGTCACCATATCCTACCGTAGTCATAGTGATTGTTGCCCACCAGAATGACGCAGGAATACTTGTAAATTTTGTAGCATCCTCGTCCTTTTCAGCAAAGAATACAAGACTTGAAAATATCATTATTCCCATGGCTAAAAATAATATCAACAAGCCCAATTCATTGTAACTCCGCCTGAGTGTAAAGCCTAAAGACTGAAGGCCCGTTGAATGTCTGGCGAGCTTAAGAATCCTTAGGATCCTCATAATTCGAAATATCTGAACTACACGTCTGACGTTTTGGAACTGCAGGACACTTTTATTGGACTCTGTGAGGAAAATGGTGACATAGTACGGCAAGATAGCCAGTAAGTCAATGACATTTAATGGGCCTTTGAAGAACTTCCACTTATTTGGTGAGGACAGAAAACGCAAAAGATACTCCATGGTAAACCAAGCAATACACACAGCTTCAACGTGCGCTAGCTGAGGGTTGTCATTTGGCTGCCCAAATTCATCTATTTCTTGAAGTTCTGGCAGTGTGTTAAGAGACAAAGCAATAGTGGACAGGACGATGAACAGAATGGACACAATGGCCAAAATCTGTAAAACAAAATAAAAAATGTTTTGGTTAGATCGATACAAGTGTCCTTGTCAGGGATTTATTAAATCCTTTCAAATGCTTGTGTGTCAAATAAACACAGAATGGTGGAAGCTGTTTTTGCTATTGCATTCATTATTTTTTTTTATTGTTTTGAATTTTGCACAGACAAAACATTAGACTCATCTTAGACATGGTCAAAACCTGATTGCTTTACTCCCTGCAGTAAACCAATTCATTTCAGAAAGCAGGCCATGACTGGTCTTACCATTTTTAAATTACAATAGGAGGTGATGTTTATTAGTGCAAGTCACCAAGTAGAAGATATATAATTCCTGCTAATGTGCCGAACATTTTGAATTTTATGCATTAATTGTAATTATGTAAAACTTTACATCGTGTAGAGAATGCATTGGATAATACCATATGTAAGATGGTAATTCAGTACTACATAGTGCACACTTTCCTAGACAGGCATAAATTTATGAGCTGGAAAGTTAAGAAGAAAAAGTTAAGAAGAATAAACATGAAGCACTATTCAGGACACTGGTCTTGCTGAATTTTCATGTCTGGACAAATTTCAGATGCTACAAAAATCAAAGGTATTGGTCCTGAATTAGGTTGAGAGCAAGATTTTAAAAAGTAAGTAGTATGAGGGTGAACTGAGTTTCTCATAATGTGTAAGCAGACAAAAGCTTCCAAGAAATAAAGTTTTGCTTTCTGTCTAAGGAGGTGGGTTTCATAATATATTTCATCACTCATTTTCACAGAGTCCTAGAATGACAGAATCATAGAAACATTAGTTGAAAGAGATCTCCAAGACCCTCAAGTCCAATGTTTGACTGAGCACTACCATGCGAAATAAACCAAGTGCCACACCACCTTCTTGAATGCTTCAAGACCTGCTGACTCCTTAGGCAGCTGTTCAAATGCCTGACAAGCCTTTGAGTGCAGAAATTCTTCCTGATGTTCAACCTGAACCCCCCGGGCACAGCTTGAGACCAAATTCTTTCATCATGCCACTGGTTGCCTGGCAGAAAAGGCTGACCTCCACATGGCTACAGCCTCCTTTCAGGCAGTTGTAGAGAGCTGTAAAGTCTCTCCTGAGCCTCCTTTTTTCCAGGCTAAACAAGTTCAACTCCCTCAGCTGCTCATCATAACACTTGTGAGCTGCTCTGTGCTCCACCAACTTTGTTGCCCTTCTCTGCACACACTCCAGCACCTCAAAGTCTTTCTTGTAGTGAGGGACCCAGAACTGAACACAGGACTTAAGGTGTGGCCTCACAAGTGTCAGGTACAGGGGGATGATTGATTGCTGCCCTGGTCCTGCTGGTCACACAATTCCTGATACAGGCCAGGATGCTGTTGGTGGTCTTGACCACCAGGGCACATTGCTGGCTCATGTTCAGCCTGCTGTTGAGTAACACTCACAAGTCTTTTTCCACTGGACAACTTTCCAGCCACTCTTTTCCAAGTCTGTAGCATTGCATGGCGTTGTTGTGACCAAAGTGCAGGACACAGCACTTTGTCTGGTTGAACCTCATACAGCTGGTCTTGGCCCATTGATTCAGCTTGTTCATATCCCTTTGCAGAGCCTTCTTGCCCTCCAGCAGATCAATACTCCTGCCCAACATTGTGCTGTCTGCAAATGTACTGAGTCCCCTCATCCAGATCATGGACAAAAATATTAAACAGGACTGGCCTCAATACTGAGCCTTGGGAATCCCCACTAGAAACTAGGTGCCAGCCTAATGCAGCACCTTTCAACACCACTCCCTGGACCCAGCCATCCAGCCAATCTTGAACCCAGTGAAGAGTGCACCTATCCAATCTGTAGGCTGCCAGTTTTGGAGAATGCTGTGGAAGACAGTATCAAAGGCTTTACTGAAGGTAGACAGCATCCACAGCCTTTCCCTCATCCACTAGGCAGGTCTCCTGGTCATAAAAAAAGATCAAGTTGATCAGACAGGACCTGCTTTTCCTAAACCCATTGTGGCTCAGCCTGATCCTCTGGTTGGCCTGTTCATGGTGTGTGATTGCACTTAAGATAATCTGTCCCACAGCCTTCCCCAGCATCGACATCAGCTGAGAGATCTGTAGTTTCCTGGGCCATTTTTCTGACCCTTCTTGTAGATGTGTATCATGTTGGCCAACCTGCAGCTATCTGTTCTTGAGCTCTACACAGCTGAAACACTCCCAAATGTACAGACTGCCCCCACAACTCTCCTTCCTCACCTGTTCCTTCTGAAGGGCTTATAACCATCCATTGACACTCCCCATTCATGTGAGGGTTCCCACCATATTCCTGTGGTGGCAACCACACCATATCTCTCCTGCTGCACGGTGGCTTCCAGCTCCTCCTGTTTGCCACCCAGACTGTGTTCAGCTGTGTACATGCACTTCAGGTGGGCTCTTCATTTCACCCCCAGCACCAGCATGCTCCCCTGAGGCTCATCTCTAGTGAGCCTGGCCCTATTCTCTTCCCCCTTCAAAGTTTAGTTTAAAGCCCTCTCTATCAGTCCTGCTACATTACTTTTCCCCCCTTTTCTCCCCCATGTCTCCAGCAGGCCTGGTCCTGTATAAATTGCCCAATGATGGAAAAAAGACATTTTGATAAAATTCAGGCATCTCTGTAGCTCACAGCCTTCCACTTTGCCTGGCTGGTCATTGTCTTTTTTACAGAACTGATATTATGAGAAAAAAATTTAATATCAGAGAACCTCACAGCTTTACCAGAAAGTATAAAGATATAAAGAATATCAGCAGCTTTGAGACAGTAAGCAAAGTGTTAAAATGTTATTACAAAATTATTATAATACTTGGAAAAAAATATTATTTTGGTTGGAAGTCCTGATTAAATCCAGTTTTTTATTACAAATGCTAAAATAAATTGTTTTCTGTTTGAAAGATCAGTTTAAGATCATTCACAAAAGTGTTTACTTTCATTTCTCAGAAATGGAACTGTTAAATCCATTTGGTGATGTTCCTCAGTTATTTATACTATAAAGAATATCAGCAGCTTTGACACAGTAAGCAGAGTGCTAAAATGTTATTACAAAATTATTATAACACTTGTAAAAATATATTAGTTTGGTTGGAAGTCCTGATTAAATCCAAGTTTTTATTACAAATACTAAAATAAATTGTTTTCTGTTTTAAAGATCAGTTTAAGATCATTCACAAAAGTGTTTACTTTCATTTCTCAGAAATGGAACTGTTAAATCCATTTGGTGATGTTCCAAGGATGCATTAGGTCTGACAAAATTGCTGGAACACCCAAGAAGAATGAAATGAAGTAAAGAAGGATGCAAGTGTGAAGAGTGTATGCAGAGAGGCAGGTCACAGTGGTGATAGAGGCTCTAGAGATAGAATGGCCACCTCACTGTAGCTTTGAGAAAAATAGCAATAAACTTGTTTCATCTATGGGTTACCAAGTGGATATTCACCTCTCTAAGCACAGACAGAAATTGCTCACAGTGGGGTGTGTATTTGGCATTGTCTTGTACTTATGTACTATCTTTGCCTTTTTCAGCTACTAATAGTACCAACAGGTATGCAGGTATCACCTTTCATATTCTCAAATATTCAACCGTTCATTTTTTCTGCCAAATGCGTTATAGACCATCTGTCTTCATCCTTCGTACAGCCAATTCAGAAAACATCCTTAGGTTAATCTATCTTATTTAGGAGGGCTATAGATTCCTTTAAACTTTCTGCTACCAACATCAGCAAAAGAAGCCAATCTTAGTAAAGAATGAGGGCAATAACAGTGCATATGTAGTCAGGGCTGATTAATGAAATTTGTAGGTGGGACTGAGGCAGACAAAAGACAACACTATAAGAGTGCAATAATTACCTTTCAGACTGTGAAAGTTGCCTGTATCAGATTTCTGTATTAAAGTTGGAAACTTAAATAAGTTGTACTGGGTTATCCACTTCACCTAAACGACTGTGAAACAGCTAATGCAGGCTTGACTTCTCTAAAATACTCAATAACATAATTATACTTTCTGAATTTACAGAACAAACAAATGAGGCACAGGTCTGAATAGTTGAACTTGCAGTTTCTGTCAAGCTGATGGAGCCTCACTGGGGCCAGAATCAGAATGCAAATAACAGGATTGGAAAAAGCTGTATAATAGCAGGACCAAATTACTTGACATGCATTGTTCTTTAAAAAAAAATAAAAATTGTATGAATGTATCTGCTCAACTGTCATCAAACTGATTTTAATTAGGAACCACTGGCATTCCAGTCTGTCATAAGGGATTTATTTTATGTTTAAATGTCTACCAGCATACAAAAGATCCTAGAAAAGAGGTGAGTTAGTTAATATCATTCCCCCTTGCACTGTGTAACATTGCTAAAACTCCATGCATTTTGGGTGTTTTATTGAAAACAAGCATCCATTTGTTTGTTCCAGCCATTCCTATATGTGCTGCTAACACAAGCCTGAACTCCCCCAGCTTTCTTTTAATAAAATATCCAGTACAGAAGCCTGGAACCTAAAGTGATTTATACATATAATCTATAAGAATGAGTCTGTTCTTAGTGAAAAAATTTACAGCAAAGTAAAGTAGTTTAGTTTCTTCTAATATAAGAATCTCAAGCTTTTATTTGTTTGGGACTTTGTTGTGTAATTAAAGCAGTGCATCATTCCACACACAGTATGTTTTAATTATTGCAATTGATTAGATTTCACAACACATTAGGCGAAAAAATGCCAGGGGAAAACTTGGAAGAACAAGAGCAACTATGAGAAAGAGAAGAAGAAAAAAATAACTCCTTATTCTGAGTCTGCATAAAGAATACTTTGCAGATATTATTATGCTGGTAAGTTTTCATGGAACAGATGCAGATTGTATTAAGAGAAGCACAGAATTCATAAGAAAGACCTGTAGCAAACTGCGAGGTTGGTTATTCTGATACAGAAAAGTAAAGAAACCACCACTGACTGAATCTTTCCCAGCAGAACTTCCTGTTTGTTATGTAGTATTTTTAA